GAACATTTATTACAGTACACCGCTGTAAGTGTTCCATGTTATTACTAGTTGTTGCTCTTCTCTTACTGCGCCTAATTTACAAAATAACTTTACCATAAGTATAGGAAAATGACTATTGTGGACAGGGTTCAGTACTCTTAGGCATCTGCTAAGTGTTTTGGAAAGAATCTCCCAGACAGAGGGCACTACTGTTTCACAGTCAAAATAGTATGTGGTGTAGTAACAGGTCAGCGATAAATGAGACAATTACCCTGAAGAGCCCAGCCACACACTTGCCCTGAGTTGGTGGTTGCTGAATGTTGGATTTTCAGAGTGGAGATGTGTCCGTTGCAGAGGTGTCTGGAGGCTGAACTGGGATCTTTTTTCTGTGAGGCCCTGTCCTGGTCCTGCACACTGTGGGGTGGTTACCAGCAGTATTGGCCTCTTCCTCGTAGGTGCTAGCGCCATCCCCACCACTCACTTGCGACAGCTCCAAGCCAAAATGACTTCCAGAATTACCAAGTCTTCTTAGGGGCAAGTATGAAGACCACAGGTCCACGACAACATTTGCTATACACAGATGATGGGTAATAAATATTTACTAACTTGATTAATGAAAAAACAAAAGGTTATGTTAAATTCTGACCTCTTAGAAAGCTTATTTAATCTTTACAATTTGGTAAAGCAGTTTTAATTTTTTCCACTTGAATTTAATAAGAAAAGTAGAACTTGGAAAAATAAGAGTATCATTAAGATTAGTTACTAATCCTTCAAAAGTATGTCAAATATTGGAACTATGAAACTGTATCTGTAGTTTCTAATTTATTTCTTTGCTTAAAATTTGAATTGGCATTCCATGAAGGAAAGTGACCACATAGGGCTTGGATGTCTACTCATTCAGTTCATAGGGTTGTCATCCTGTCCAGGACAATTCTCTATATGGTCTTTTATCTTCTTAAAAAGTCAAAAGACAAATATTTAAACTTGGGGGATTAGCATTCTACCTGAACCTGCTCATACAGCAGGAAGCATAATAGCACGCATAAAGTGGGCAGTGGTTTATGCAACAAAGTTCTCTTGCTACAATATTGAATCAGACAGTAGTAACACTTTCAGAGCTTTTCCCCTCAGTATGTGATTCGTTATGATCTTTTCACTCTTTTTGAGAACTAACTAGATACTACATTATTCTTACACAGGGTACAAGGAAATCAAAATTTATAGAGACAAAGATAAAGTGACTTGTTCAACACAACAGGGAGGTCATATTCACTGATTTGACGTGGGACAAATCAAGACCAAAACACGATGTCAGTAATATTACTAGTTTAACGTTTTGCTACCTGAAGTGCAACCAATGAGTTCAAATAGAGGAATGGTGTTGGATTGGGGAACATCTGTCATTTCCTTGACTTTCTCATCACAAAAAGTGTTGGCCTATAACTCCACAAAGCTCCAAGGAAAGGATGCTCATGAGATTTCCCAACAGTAGCATCTATGCCTCACTCACACTGCATAAACTGAGTCTCACGGGCTCATTTTAGATGCAACCTACTTCAACGCCCTTTACCCCCACTTACTTGGAGTGTGTCAGCTGCCCTTCTTCTTTGCTTCTGTAGTTCCATGTTCTTGTTGTCTCCATTCACTTGCTGTTGACTGTGACAGCATCATCTCTGCCCTGGGATCTGAGGTTCATAAGGGGAGGATCCAAGGCTTCTGTCCACACCTGCAGGGCACTGGAGAGTAGAAAGTGTAAGACACAAAATTAGACACGTGTGGAATCTAACTGATCTCTGGACATGCTGGGACCTCCTCCTACCTCATGAGTCATCCAACTGAAGGTACCTCTGATCCCCTGCATTTTCCCACATGATATTTCAGCTATTAGCCTGAAAATTCTCCAGAAAGGAAGTCCTCAAGGTTTTTAGACTCTTGGTTTCCAGAGGTATTTATACATGTTTCAAGAAGATTACATTCCTTAGTGTGTTGATGATATTTGATTTTACTGTCTCTCCTTTCCAGCAGACTGTGAGCTTCTCTATTACAAAATTATGAATATTTTGTGTGTATTCTTGGCTCTGAAACACAGTCCTTGGCTCGTTGGTGATTCTTAGTTTGTATCCATGGCTATCCATGTCCATAAAGGAAACTTTCTGAGATTTCTCTGAATATGTAAGGACTTGTTTGGATAATTGCAGTTTGTATATAGGGGCCTGCTTTGTTGAATTGCTGAGGCAGAAAGAAGAGAAAATACCGTCACTTCTAGAACACATAAGTACATGCATGCACACACTGTACACAGAGGAAGCTGCAGAGAACAGGAGAGTAAGTGCTAATTATGTCAGACAAAAGCCATCTTGTACAGAAATGGAGCTGGTGGCAGAGGGGCCTTAGTGACGGGACAAGAATGACCACTATATAGAACTTTGAAGTTTGTGTGTTTGCCTTCTGGGGTGGGGTGCATTGCACAGACAACACTACGTATGACGAAGATACCCACAGATACTTTGGATAGTAATATTCGATTTCCAAACAATAGGTTTAAAAATCTGTGCCACTATGCCTGGGGAAACTTAGTCATTTTGAATTTCTTTCATTCTTCAAATAAGCAACTACCTGCAACAGGTTGCGAAGCCTCAAGTTTTATAAGAATGTTGTACTATGGAAAACATGCAAGAAGTATTGCATCCACTGCTTATACATTAAAATAAGATTTATCATGTAGAGTTTCTTGAGGGAGCTCTCTCCTCCTCCATCTGTGGCTCCTGCCCCAGGAAACAAGATCCACCACCTTGCACCTCAAGGGAGTCACTGAGCCATTTTAATAGACCTCGTGGCTCCATCACAGAAAAAGCCAAATATTAATGCACAGATGATGGTTCTGAACTTTGTACTTCCTGCAGTTCCTGCCTGCTTGGAGCTAACCTTGTCTTCAACTTGAACCACATCTACCATGAACATGAAACTTGAGGCTATTCCAAATTCTTTAAATCTTCTCATTCGCCATGAAACTCCACATGGCAGACTTGGGACTTCATGCTGTGGGCTGAAATCACCTCTGCAGCTTGTGTGTTCCTGGACTGACCCATACTCCTCTTTGACTTCTCGATTCCTTACATGTTGCCCATGTAGTATGCACAAGCCTCACCCCCCCAGCCCCTCATAGCAACGGAGACCTCCCATGCTGAGGTTATTCCATACGTGTTACTGTGTCCTTTCCGTCTGTCTCTCCCTAAGTGAGGATGGAGACTGCTGTATCCCAGGAAAAATAGCAAGTGGTGGATGTTTCTTCTTGGAAAACCCAATAAGTGAACTGCTCATCCTTGTATATCTATCCTGTTTTAAAACTTGGCACAAAATTGTCGACTAGTGCTTTCTGAATGAATAAACAAGCATAATTAGATTTGGGGATTTACATTTGTGCTAGCGAAACACAGGTTTTCTGCCTCTTATCTCCGATAGTATTTTATGCATGCACATGTTGCTGTTTAATTATACTTATATACAGCTTCTTCCTGAGAGCAAGTATAGTGTGATTCATCTTTTTGATATCCCAAGGCATCTCTCACCACCCCAATACCATAGCAATAGAAATGTCAGGGATAATTTTAGGAAAAGGGCAGAAACAAACCAATAAATAGTTTGTCCAGGGAGTTACTTTTATTTTGCTTTTCTAAATGTACTGATCAATACATTAAGGAGGCAGAATTAGCAAGTGTATACATAGACAGAGCCAGCCTCTAATTTTCCGTCAATTCCAATGGAAAGGGTGCATTTTAAACTGGTCAAATGATAGCACAGGAGAAGAAAGAAATTACAACTTTGAGAAAAGTTAAGCCTGAAGAGGGTGACTCAAACTGCAATGATATTTTTATTGAATGGGTATAATTTTAACACTTGTGCTTGACTTTGTCTCTTTATTCTATTGAACCAGGATGCTATGACTCTCATGTAATTGCATAGTCCTATAACTATTACACCCACAGAAAGTCTATATATAATATATATAATATTGAGCCAGACCTAGTGAAAAATGGTTAAAATGTTAAATCAGCTATCACTGATGAGAATTTTCTTATATTGCTGAGAAATATTAATGACAAGAAAAAGTAGGATTATAAAGCAATGATAAACTAGGAGAAGTTGCCACCATTTTTTTTCAAGGCACATTTAATTTAATAGCAGAAGTGTTAACACAAAAGGCCCAAATACAATGAAGCAACACACTCTCCCATTAACATCAAAGACAAGGCTCTTTTCTTTTTCTTTGGTACCGGGGATCGAACTCGGGTTCTTAGCTTGCAGGGCAGGCGGTGGAACCACTGAGCTAAATCCCTGGCCCAACAATGCTCTTTTAACATGTGCCTGTTGAATGAGATGAGGGTTTCATAAAGTTCACTACTGAAAAAATTATTCAGTGAGTCTCATCACAGCCAATATCCTTATACAATTTAGTTGTGAAATGAATGTTTATAATGCTTTGAACAGTTTAAGCCTGAAATCTGATACCACTCCTTCATGTTTGTACAGCCCTTAGTTAAGATTATCTACAGTTTTTGAAACCATTCAAAGAACAAACCATTGATTAAAATGATATTAATTTAGGCTATATTAAATAATACAGAGCCCTAAAGCTACATGGTTAAATATATGTACTACTTTACCAACATCTATTATTTCTTTTGTGACTATTCAAGTTGGTACTTAGCAAATAAGCCCTTTAAAGGCAAAATTCACCTCGTTTGAGTTTTGACCCAGAAGTTCAACAACAATCACGAAGTCCACAGTCTTACTGGCAAAACTGATATACAGTGTCTCTAAGTCACCATGCCCAAGGTTAAGAGCGATGCATATTCCATTTTTACATTTAACTGGAATTTTACATGTTCATTTCAAGATTTGAAATCTCTAGGTTTTCAATCTTCCAAACTGTCTGAAGACACCGTGTGCCACAGAATAAAGACTTCTGTTTCTCCCTCTATTTTCTTCAAACAGAAACATTTCTCAAGTGTCTACATGTTCTAGAAGGGGAATTTTTCGAAGGTGGCCTCTTCTTTGGAATAGTCTGATGGCATCAGGCCTCTGAAGCAAGGGGAAGGGGAAGAGAAAAAGGCTGAAACACAGGGTTCATCTGGTAAGTTTTACATTAACTATTACAAGCTGGACAGTAGAAGAATGTGGCTTTTTTTTTTTTTTTTGCTCAAAAAGTCTGAGTCTTGGTGTGCAAATGAGCATTTGGCTGTCCCACGACAGCTTTCTCATAGTGGGACTGTCAGGGAAGTCTTGACTGGGGAGTATGATTTGTTTACCTATCAGGTGTAAACTTCCAGGCACTCAGTTCATTTTGGGCTTGTTCCAGTTTGTCTTTAGTCTGTTCCAGTTCACCTTTCATTTTTAGGAAAAACAAGTTGATCGCTGGGTCTACCATTGTTGCTCTCAGTTGGACAACACTTGGCTGCTGGACTTGCTTGAGGTACTGGATTGGAGTAGTACACTCTTGCATCTCTTGTTCCTTGGTTGCTAGTCGCATTACAAGGATGTTTTTCCTATGTGCAGACTCTTGCTGTTGCTGCTTTAGCTTTTCTTCAGATTCCCGTAAGACAGTTACATCATTTGAGTTAAGATCTGTGTACTTGCCCTCCAAAGCTTGAACATATGCTTCATATTGTTTCCATTTCAGAATTATCTCATCTTGCGCCATAACTTCGAAGTCTGTTTCACTCAGTCGAACCTTTTTGGGAAGAGGTTCTTCGTTGGTCATCTTGAATCCTCTGCATACCCCAGCCACTGGCCCTGCCACGCTCCTTCAGTTGATCCCTGTCACTCCCTTTATTTGCCAGTTGCCACCATTTTTGAGCACTTAGTATATTTCAAGTTTTGGGATTTTCATCTATTACCCTTAGACATTTAAAATTTATAAACTGTACAAACATATACTAAAAAAGTTATAAATACTTATGCATCTAACAGATCCCCAGAAAACTCAAGGAAAATGTGACAGAAGAGAAGAAAGAGATCAACAATTCACTAATAATAGCTGCAGAGTTCAGCACCCACTTTCAGTAATTATCAGAAGAATGGTTACTCATAACTTATTAAAGAAAAAGAAACACTATCCACAAAGTCTCAAATCATCATAAATGGTATGCTCCATTTAAATTTTAAAAAGAGAAATATAATGTAATAAAATATGTGGACAAAATATGCAAAACAAAAGAGGAATTACTTACATTCATACATACATACATACATTTACTTATTTAGAGATAGGGTCTCACTGAATAGTCCAGGCTGGCCTCAAACTTGTGATGATCCTTCTGCCTCATCCTCCCAACTTTTAAATAACTGTAATAGAAATAATAAAAAACCAGAGTTTTCAAAGTAACAGAAGAATCATAAGTATGCAGAATCATAAAAGAAATGGTTAGACAACAAAGTCAATGAAAAGTAAGCAAATAATAAATCAGGAGGTAAATACTTTTTCTGAGAACTGAAGATATTTCGAAAAAAAAATAAGAACAGAAACTAAAAACAGTAATATGCTGGAGAGGAAAATATCACTAAATGAAATAAGATGAAAAATGAGTGAAGTTGCTGGAAAAACATTGTAGCAATGTAAGGGAGAATTACTACATACACATGATGATTCTGAAAAAAATGACATGAAAAATTAAATGGAGAAATCAATGTAGAGCTATAATACAAAAATAATTGCTGAGTTAATATGCCACCTATGTATGCAGACAAAAAGATATATAGTATCTCAGGAAATTTTGATAAGCAATATTAAAGCGTATCTTTGTAAAGTCACTGGTCGTAAGAAATAATTCTATTGTTATTGAGGTGAGATTGTCACTACCTACAGGATAGGAAAACTCATCTGAAATAAACCTTATTCACAGCAGCATTCAATAATAAAAGGACTCAGAGTTGTTCATAAAATTATCAGGGACACATTAAAGCTATTATTCAAATAGAAAAAAAGGCATGCATATCTTAAAACTTACAAGAATAAAAGAATCTAGTGCTTTTCCTTGCAAGTATACAAAGAGCTTAATGATAAAAACTAATGCACAAAGTAATGATTGAATAACAACTTTAAAATGATTTAGGATTGAGTTTTTGTCCAATTAAGCATATAGAAACAAAGAAAAAAATACAGGGATTACTCATACTTAACAGAATGTAAATGGCAAATATATGTTTAGCTTTATAAAATACTGTTTATGTCTGTTTTCATGATATTTTGGTGACCTTAGTTTTAAGTAACTTAATTATAATGTCTGTGGTCATGGACTTTTTTTCCGTTATTACACATTTGGGATTCCATGAGTTTCAGACAACTATATCATTATGTCCTTGTCCAAATTTAGCAGATTTTTTACACATTAATTCTTCAAAAAGTTTCATCACCGAATTCTCTACATTCTCTCCCTCACCTCTGAAACCCTAATGACATAATGATTATATCTACACTATTGTCCCATGGCTTCCAGAATCTATGTTTATTATTTTTGGGATTATTTTCCTCTGATGTACCCCTTAATCTATCAGGTCCATTCAGTATGCTTTTCTTTTATTATTGCATGTTGTAATCTATAAAATTTCCACTTCATTTCTCTTGATGTCTTCTTTAATTTCATTTGCTTATGCATTCCAAAATCATATTGTTTCAACTGTGTTCCAATTTTCCCTTTGAGCACATCTTAGAGAAGAGTTGCTTTAAGTCTGCTGGAGAACTCCAATATCTTCATCATCTCATCACTGGGATTTGTCCACTGATTGTCTTTTACACAAATTGAGATCTTTGTGATTATTTCTATGCTAAGTATCTTTAGATTGTATCCTGTTCATTTTGAGCATGATATTATGAGACTGTAGATCTTGTTCAGTGCTACTGTTTTTTTTGATTTGGTGGGCAATCAACTGGCCTAACCCAGTGTCTGTGCCCTGGCATTCCAAGCTTGCATCCACTTTCAGTGCCTTTCCAGTGAAATTAAAATGTTTCATAGATCATGGTTGGACCTGTCAGGATGCTGTCATCTTAGCTCAGTTCTCAGCCTTTGTAAGGTGCCTGTGCAGTCTAGAGATGGACCCAGTGTTTCCAAAACAACTCTACAGGGGTGTGGTCACAAGACTATCCGCCTCTGTGATCTCATTTCCTGGGCTCCCCTTTCTGCTCCACTCTGGCCTTCACTACCCTGATCCCACCATACTTCCTGCTTTTCCACTCACACATAGCCTGAAGTGATGGGAAAACAGGGCCACCCCACTCTCTGGAACCCACACCTCTAGCTGAAGACGATGACTTCCTCTCTTAGAGTCTCACAGTGGCACATTGTAGAGCCTCTGTCTCTATCTAAGGTGATGTCTCTATTGTCTGTATCCACAGGACTCCTCCCAGAGCCATTTCTCCATCAGTGCCTACTTCTGACTTCCCACTCATCTTGATTTCAGCTGGCTGGAAAAACCAAGAAGAAAAGCAAATTGTGAATCACATCCCAATTTCTGTGGTGCTTCAAGTCCCAGTGTTCCTTGGCCAGCTTGCTGTCATTTACTTTATAGACCCCTTGTCTTAGTTACTTTTCTCGTTGCTGAGACAAAATACCCGATACTCAAAGTTAAAGGAGGAAAAGTTTATTTAGCTCACAGTTTGTAGAGGTTTCAGTCTATAATCAGCTGGCTCCAAGGCAGGGTGGCATGGGACAGGGGCATTGCAGAGGAGAAACAGTTCATGGAAGGCAGAAGATAGTAAAGCAACAAGGGGAAACCACAGCTCTTTCTGTCCCTTATATCTTATCCAGGCTACTTAGGGCAGGTAGCACTCACACTAGGCTCAAAGGCACTTAATCTTAGTGCCTTTGAGCCTAGCATTGTCTCACGAATTATTCCAGAGTCACACATTCTAGATCCAGCCAACTCTGAAAAAGCCCCACCTATGATCACATGAAACTTTGGGGGGACATCTAGACACAAGCCATAGCACCCCTCAAATAACTCATTCATTGTTTATCTGGATTCATAAGTGCATTCAGTGGGAAAGGTTGGATAATGTGAGTTTTCTCTTTCTTCTTCAGAATCTTAAGTCTAATCATCACTTCTGAGAAATATTTTATACTTAGTATATTAGTCACTTTCCTGTCACTGGGATGAAATACCTGATATCCATAATTTGAAGAAGGGGATGTTAATTTTTCTCTCACAGTTTCAGAAGATCCAGTCCATGGTTGGCTGGCTCCATGGCAGAAATGGCCTAGTGTAAGGGCTTGATGGAGCAAAACTGCTTGCAGCCAGGAAGCAGAAGGAGAAAGAAAGGAGGACCTAGGGACAGGAAAACATCCTTCCAGTCCATACCTCCAGTGGCCACCTCTTCCAACCGGGTCCATCTCCCTGACAGCACTCTCAGCCATGGATGAATCCATGGATAAGTACAGCGCCCCACCTCTGAACACAGTAGACTTTGGGGATACCTTAGATCTAAACCATAGAACTGAATGTGGAACAAGTTTATCCTTGTAAATGGAAATCTAATAAGCCAGAGAGACCATACAATGAATAGACAAAATTTTTCATAAGGTACAAAGTCAAATATATTGTTCAGCAAATTTTAGTTGGGTCGAATAGCATGAGACAGAGTAAATCAAGTTTTGGCCCTATATCACTAGAAATGCAAAAGCTACATATATCCACTTAGTTTAAATAACACAGAACAAAGTCACTAATAGAGACATTTAAATTATATTCTTAGTTTTTACTTAGGGTCTTCTTAGCTTTAGTTAAATTCCCAACACTCATTCATACTGCTATATTTTATGAGCCCTTTGTTCAAAACTATAAATGATAAATATCCAAAGGCTTTGCCTTCATAAAAATGTTTGCATTTTCTCGAGAATCTGTTTTCTTCCTTTAGTCAGAAAGTAGGAACTGCATAAATATACATGTCTGTGGTCATTTTCTATTGGTTTCTAAGAAAGTAATGGTGAAATTAGTACTAACTTAAGACATGTAATGTGGACTAGGATTTTAGTATTTATATTCTACACTTTTACGATGTACTTTGGCCTAAATTTACATTATTTTAGTAAAGATAAATTTAGTTTTTTTTTTCTTTGTTGTTTTGGTAACAGGGATTGAACTCCGGACCTTGCACTTTTGAGGCTGGCAGCAGCACCACTGAGCTAAATCCCTGAAGTGAAGATAAATTTAATCATCTTCTAATCTTTCAAAAGTTTTACAGATTATACATAATAATTTATAGATAAAATAATATTGTCTATGCATTTCCATTTTTTAGATCATTACAGACATCTGTACAATGGAGAAAAATGATCCATTCAAACACTACATCACTTTCACCTGTAACTTTGCAATCTCATGAAAAAAATTTAATTTATCACTTTTTAACTATTTTCATTTATGGCCTCAAATTTTTTTTGAATATATGGATATGCAAGCTCATTATACCTTTTATCAGCCCATTTATTTAAAAGCTAAAGCATAGGGCTCTCACAATTGGGAAGTTTGCTTTAGAATATGTGTACAATTTTGGAACAGCACAAAAAACCCAAAGTTCTCCTAATTAGTTCCTTAGAGAATCATTAGGGTAAACAAAAGTGTAAAATTTTAATCTCCCAGGTGTTGTTCAACAGTATCTTAATAAAATGTTATGTGTATTCCAATGGTATCTCAAAGCGACCACACTCGAGTTATTTTGGTTATAATCAGGAGACCAGCAAAAGCAAGCTGTTTAAATAAACATTATATAAAAAATAGCTCAT